TTGGTTTGGTTTGGTTTAGTGACATACTGTCAATGAATGTTTGTGAACATGTCCTGTGTTACTGTATACCTGGCACTGGGCTAGGTAGATGGTGGGAGGGCGAAGGAACAGAGACCATGGCTGTGGTGACGTTGACATGGAGCACAGCATCCTTTGGGGGCATAGTGAAGGTCGTGGTGAATGCTAGCTGAGTTGTAAAACATGACCACTGCAATCAGTTGAGCACTCAGCTACTAACCAAAATGTTGGTGGTTTGAACCCACCCAGAGATGCCTCAGAAGAAAGAGCTAGTGATCTAGTTCTGAAAGGTCATTTCTTGAAAATCCTATATTCGTGTAGTACCTGGGGTCTTAAAATCTTGCAAGTGGTCACCTAAGGCGCAAAGATTGGTCTCTATTCTCCTGGAGCAACAAAAGAAGAAGGAGGGTCAGGAATATAAGGAGGATATGGAATGTGTGGCTAATTACCTCCATGAACAACTACCTTCTTTGCCATGAGACTAGAAAAACTGGCTGGATGAGATAATCTTTAAACCAAAAATATCCCCTGAAGTCTTCTTAAAACCAAGCAATAGTTTAGCTTTACTTGTAAAGAACGTCTGCCTTGAACACTGTGCTCTTTCAAGATCTATCTATATGAGATCACATTGACAGCAGCAACTCGAAAGACTAGATAGGAAAAGTAGAAGGTAGTGAGTTTATGTTAATGGAGGAGAAACAACTCAGAAAAGGAGGATGAGAATGGTAGCACAACTTGAAGAATGTAATCAATGTCCCTGAATTGTACATGTAGAAACTGTTGAACTGGTGTATATATATACCTTTGTATATTCTCATCAACAAAAGCAAAGTGAATAAATTAAAACAAAAATACCTATGGACACAGTTATACACTGATACATGTGTGGTCTCCGTGATTTAGAATCAACTTAACAGCAACTAGTTTGGTTTGGTTTTGATAGGCACCATTTAGAAGGAGAGTCAGCTTGTACTGGAGATAAGCAATGATGTAACAGTGTGTGCAGGGTTCAGCAAGTGGCCAGCATGGGTAGAGAATAGGGCCTGGGCCCATTAGAGAAAATGGGCTAGGTAGGGAGACAGGGCCCCAATCATTAGGCCCTGTACTTGTGCAGGAGACTAGAAGTATCATCCAAAAGTGGGGAGGAGCCAGGGAAACCTCTGAGTAGGAGACCAGCATAATCAGATTTTCAGTAGGGGTGGCTCTCTGGTTTTGGGGTGGATAATATAGTCATTCAGATCACTGAGGTACAGAGTAGGCAATAACAGTATGGGATGGTTGTTGACTTTGAGGAGCTCGGAGATGGCCAAAGGGAAATGTCTCCTTGGAGGGTGTGTAGTAAAGAATTTAACTTAGCCCAAAAAGAGGTTTGGCTTTTGCCCTTGGCTCCTGGGAAGTGATCTCTAAGCTCTTGCAATGTTATGTCTGATGGGAGTGACTTTGTTTGCTCGGGGGTCTTGAATCACATTGATAGTGTAACAAAATTATGTAGGGTGGAGGCTGGTCTTGTAAGTAAGACCAACCATGTGACTTAGGGTGGAGGCTTTGGATCATTCAATATAAGTGGACCTGACAGACTGAGATCAACTACATGGGCAATCAGTCAATCATGCCCATGTAGTTAAGCCCTAGTAAAAACTCTGGACTTCTTCCCTAGTTCGTTTTAATTTTTATCCTTTCCCTGTAATAAACCATAAGTGTGAGTATAACAACTTTCAGTGAGTTCTATGAAACCTCCTAGAATATTAAAACTGAGGGTAGTCTTGGGAACCCCCAAATTTGCAGTTGGTGTCAGAAATGAAAGCACTTTTGTGGACACTGTCCCTCCTAACTTTGTAGGTGGCCTGAATGCCTCACAGCAGGTAGTTAGACACAGTGCTCAGAGGCAGGGCCTGGGCGAGATACATGGAGTTGACAGTCATGACTATGTGGGTGAACCAGAAGGAGCAAGAGCAATCACCCAGGGAGAGTGTAGAGTGAGAAGAGGCCAAAGACAGAATTTTGAGGCACATCAACATTTAAGGCATGGATGAAGGAAGAGGGGGCTGGGGAAGGTGCTAAAGTATTCACCTGATGCTGGATTAGGTATAAGTTTTAAAATTGGGTCAACTATATGAAGTCCTGACTCACAGCAATCCTATAGGACAGAGTAGAACTGCCCCATAGGGTTTTCAAGGCTGTAAATCTTTATGGAAGCAGATTGCCTCATCTTTCTACCATGAATGGCTGGTAGGTTCAAACTGCCAACCTTTGGGTTAGCAATCAAATGCTTTAACCACTCAGAATCAACTCAAGGGAAGTGGGTTTTTGGTTTTTAGGTGAAGTCCCAGGGTAGCACTAGTGGTTAAGCTTTGGGGTGCTAACTAAAAGGTTGTGCTTTAAACCTGTCAAGAGGTGCCTTGGAAGAAAGGCCTGGAAATCTGCTTCTGAAAGGTCATAGTGATATAGTGATGAAAACCTTATGGAGGGAAGTTCTACTCTGAAACATATGGAGTCACTGTGAGTGAGGATAGACTCAATGGCTTTTTTTTTTTTTTTTTCAATGAAGAAGTAGTTCTAGGTCTCATGTGGATGGAAATCAGTCCTCCGGGTCAGTGTTAGACAGTGGTAAGCTGCCCAAATATCTATTAGAGTTCCTCTTCCACAGTCTTTCTGCTAGAAACTTTCTAGCCACACCCTTTGCCCTCAAGTTTATGCTGTACCCAACTAATTTGAAGGTCTCAAGAAATGAATAAAACCAGTTAAACCTGATAACTTCCCAGGTTGCCCCTTCTGTGTTGAGTTTAGAGTGTGGCCTTATCAACTTGACCTTTTGTTTCCCAGCAGGAACAGAGGGTAGAAGCTAACACTTGCCAAAAATAAAAGAAAGAAACCTGTTTTAGCTTATCAATGATCTGGAGGCTATCTAGATGCACTTTTTAGAGCTCACAAAACTACTGATGGAATTCTAGAACTATTTGGAGACAATATTATAATTTCCAGGCTTACTACAGATGTTCAGGGACAGTGCCAGTAAAATGATGGGGAAAATGTCACTTTGTGCAAGGTTCTTGTTAGCCATTCAATAGAAGGCAGTAGGCAGACAGGGGTAAAGCTTCACACTGACCCCTTACAGGGGAGCTCTGTGTGAAATGTTGCCAGAGTCATTGCAAAGGCTGCCATGTAATAGGGTAAGTTTTCCATTCAAACACATAGAGTTGCCCCTAGAGGGATGTTCTATGGTAAAGTAGACCTCCTCCATATGGATAGTCATATAAGCCATTGGCATGAACTGTGTGAAATGTGTGATTTTTGGGGGTTGCATTGGAGGACACTGGTAAGGATGCTTGTTTATAGATTTAGCAGTCATAGCAGTGTCCATTTCCGGGAGAGTGGATAGAGAAAGAAATGGGTGCTACTTACCATGGACTCTACTCAGCTGTTTGAAGTAAAGGAGTGTGGCACAAAGAGCAGGAAGAGTGGACCACACAAGAACCAAACCATTACAGTCAAGTCGATTCCAATTCATAACGACCCTTTAGGAAGAGTAGAGCTGCCCCATAGGGTTGCCCCCAAGACTGTAAATCTTTGCTGAAGGAGACTGCCATATCTTTCTCCTATATAGCAGCTAATGGGTTCAAGCCACTGACCTTAAAGTTAGCAACCAAATGTTTAAACATTGTGCCACCAGGGCTCCTTACATGAAAAACACAGTGGTGAATAAAAAAGGAAAAAGAGTGAGATATACAACCCAATACCATTTACTTAAACTAAGATACACACATATAACACAATGCACATATTAAAGGGACTCATTCTGATGGTTCTCTTACTGACATGCTGGTGAGAGTAGTGAATGGAAATAAACAGAAATCCATGCATCATTTGATCAATTAAGAGAGGACAGACAGTATGCTGGTCAAATATGACACAATACTTAAGCTTACCTCTCTCCCCTGAGATTTTAAAAAATTGTGTGCATGTATGTATAGGTCCCTGGGGGTGCAAATGGTTTGCTCTTGGCTATTAACCAACAGGTTGACCATTTGAACCCTTCAACAGTACCATGATCTGCTTCCATAAAGATTGTTGTTAGGTGCCATTGATTTTCAATTCATTGCAACCCCATGTAGCACAATAGAACAGCCGCAATAAGGTTTTCTAAGCTGTAATCTTTATAAGAAGGAAGTCACTTGCACAATGGTTAAAGCATTTGGCTGCTAATCAAAAGGTCGGCAGTTGGAACCCACCAGCTGCTTCACAGGAGAAAGATGAGGCAATCTGCTTCCTTGGAAATGCCACTGGGCAGTTCTACTCTGTTCTGTGTTTTTTTTATTATTATTATTATTTTATTTTTTTATTGTGATTTGGGTGAAAATTTACAGAGCAAATTCACTTTCCATACAGCAGTTCACATACACTTTGTCTCATGACATTGACCCCAATTTACCACAATGCAACATCTCCCCTCCCACTTCCTCCCGATAGTTACCTCTTCTCTGTGTCCATCCCTCCATGCACTCCTGCCCCCTGAGCTGTCTCCCTATGCATGAGCAGCCCTTCTTTCTTCCATGATTGTTCTCTCCAAGGAGTGTATCTATGTGTTGTTCAGAGTCAGAATCGACTCAGTGGCAGTGGTCATGATATGGAATAATCTTTACAGAAGCAAGTCCTTCTCTCATGGATCTGCTGAGTGGATTCAAATTGCCACCTTTTCAGTCAGCATCCAAGCACTTAACCACGACCCACCAGGGCTTCTTTTAGTAAAGATTATAGCCAAGGAAACCTTATGGAGCTCAGTTCTATTCTGTAACTCATGAGGTCCCTGTGAATAGAAGTCAACTCAATGGTAACTTTTGTCATCGTTGTTGTTGTTAGTACATGTGTGTGTGCATATAAGTGTGTTTTGGCCAATGTGTAGTTTTTTATTTCAGGTTGTACTTTTTTTGTAGAACGTTTTCCTGGAAAGTTCATTCTCCATCAGTGGACCCTTGAAACTCGGGATGGTTCCACCAAATACCACAACTGTAATGCCCTTTCTGACCAAGCAGTGGCAGGAAGCAGTTCCACAAGATGGCAACGTGTCTGGCCTGCCCCGTTGGTCCACCATCAGTGAGGACAGTGAACTGGAGGTGCTCTACATTCTCATTGTGCTTGGCTTCTTTGGCTTCTTCACCGTGGGCATCATGCTGAGCTATATCCGTTCCAAGAAGTTGGAGCACTCCCACGACCCCTTCAACATGTACATTGAGTCCGACACCTGGCAGGAGAAGGACAAAGCATATTTCCAGGCCCGGATTCTGGAGAGCTACAGAGCATGTTATGTCATTGAGAATCAACTAGCTGTAGACCAACCCAATGCACACCTACCTGAGATGAAGCCTTCCTCCTGAACTCCGTAGCTGCTTAAACTGGACAACCCCTGCTTGACAGTCTGATTTTTCTAATCACATGCCTCTTATAGTCTTTATTGTATGGGTCCAATTTTTGTTTGTTTTTCCTATTATAAAAAGTAAAGGGTGGATTAATGACACTAGTTTTCTAAAATCATTTTAGACTGTCAGTTATTCCCAAATATCTATCTTTGCCTTGTTAATTTTAGCAGAATCCTGAGATGTTGGCCTCTGAGAGTAGGAGCTACATTTCTTAGACTCGCTTACACCTAGGAAAGTCATGTGACTAAGTTCTGGCCAAAAGAATTAGAAGTAATGGGTTCAACTTCTGCATAACTCTTGAAGAGGAAAGGATGTGTTCCTGTCTTCCCCTTGCCCTCTTCTCAGTGGCTGGGATGTGGATGAAGGTGGTGATCCAGCTTTGACTCTGAGAAAGGACAGCACCCTCACAGATGGCAAAGCAACAAGAGTCTGGGTCCCTGGGCAGTGTCACAAAGTGGAGTCTCTCCCACCCTCCTGGATTACCCACTAGCTCAGACTTTATAGGCAAAAGAAATTAATGTTACTCTCTTTAAGACTGTAAGTTGGTCTTTGTTAAAGTAGCAGAATCAATATCCTAATTAATGTAAAAAATCAAACCAGTTATTTCATTCTGTTAAACAAACATAACCCTGATACCAAAGCCAAAGATAATAAAAAGAAAATTATAGACCAATATCACTCATGAATATAGACACAAAAATTCTCAACAAAATCCTAGACAACAGGATTCAACATATCGAAAAAAAAAAAAAAAAAATCATGATCAAGTGGGATTCATACCAGGGATGTGAGGATGATTCAACATTAGAGAATCAATTAACAGAATTTATCATATCAATAAAACAAAGGAAACGAATTACATGATCATTTCAATTGATGCAGAAAAGACATTTGGTAAAATCCAACACCCTTTCCCGATAAAAATTCTCAGCAAAACAGAAATAGAAGGGAAATTCCTCAACATTAAAAAAAAAGAAAAATTCAGAACTCAGGTAGAAGTGGAGAGAGCACTGACACATTGTGGGGATTGCAAGCCATATCATAGAATAATTTGTCTATAAATTATTGGGTGGAAAAGTATTTTGTTTTGTAAGCTTTCACCTAAAGCATAATAAAATGCTTAAAAAAAAAAAACCAGTTGCTGTTGAGTTGATCCTGAATCATGGCAATCCCATGTGTGTCAGAGCAGAGCTGTGCTCTGTAGGGTTTCAGTGGCTCCTGAAGTAGACCTCCAGGTAATACATGTAATGTACAGGACTAAACGTAAAGGAGTTATGTTTGTCACAAGCACATTGTTCCTGTTGTTGTAAGACAGGACCATTTCTGCCTTTGTCATCTCTGTCCTTACTGTATGGCTCTGTCCTCCTGCCTCCTGCTCCTCCCTTACTCTCATCCTTCACTCACCTACTCCCCCCACACACACACTTTCCACTCACATGTCTCAATCTAGAAAGAACTCACTAAGAACTCACTTCCTACAAGATTGAGTTGGAGGAGAAAAAATTTCTGCTTCAGGATTTATATCAAGGAGAAGGCTCTCAGGAATCTTGGCTGGAGGGAGGGGTACATCCACTACCACAATTGCCCAGGGAAGGAGTGGCTGTGGGCAAGAGGCAACATCTGCGATCAAGGTGACAGGGCCTTTTGAAGTGACGTGCCTCTCACCCTGCCTCAGGACAGACCTACTTTTCCTCTCCACACACAGGATTGGCTGGGAATCTTTCCTCACAGATGGAAAATGCAAAAAGAATTGGGCATGGAAATGGATGCTTCTAGAAGGAGCAGCTCACAGCAGGTAGAAGAAAGCTTGTGTTAGAGAGAATCGTAGAGAGTGCATACTCCCGAGTGCCCCCGCTTCTTCTCCAGCTCCAACTGTAGTTTCAGAGGTATATGTGACATCCTGAAAGCTCACCTGCTTGGTTGTTCTCTGATGAGTGTTGAATATTTAAATAAAATATAATTTTAAAAACAACTTGCACTTAATATGAATGAAAAGCAACACATACTCATTGTTGGCCATCCTCAAACAGATGCATTTGGCGAAGCACAATGCCAGATCTCATTTTGTGTAATGAACAGTGGTTCCTGTGTGTGCTTGGGAGCTGGGGTTCTGGTTAGGACATTTCTGGGCCAGACCTCTGCATTACTGTAATCCTTGAGATTAGTGATTCTTTGGGTCACAGATACTTTGAAAATCTAATGAAATCTATGGACTGTTCCTCCAAAATGTAGACTCTAAACACAAAACAAGGTCCCTGGGTGATGCAAAGGGTTAAGCTCTTGGTTACTAATGGTTGACAGTTCATACCTACTCAGTGGCACTCTGGAAGAAAGGCCTGGCCACCTGCTCCTGTAAAGATTATTACAGCAAAGAAAATCCTGTGGCACTTGATTCTTGATTGTGCTCTCTAACATACCATGTCACCATGAGTTGGAATCAGCAATATGCTTTTTTTTTTTTTTAATACATAATGTTTTGAGCACTGTTTTGGGGGGCTCAGGGCTGCTGCAAGTGCAGTTATGACAGCTGGCATCCCAGGGTCCCTCTGCCAGCACCCTGGTTCAGATTGCCCATCTTGAGGGAGAGGGAGTCGCATTGCCCATCTTGAGGGAGAGGGAGTCGAGGGAGCATGGGCTTGGAGAGGGACCTAGAGAGCGTATGATGCACAGGGTGACCCACAGTGACAGACTGACACTGATGTGTGAGGCCCATAGATGGGCCCTCTGTCACTGGCTCACTTTCCCCCATTTGGATTCCCGCAAGTTTTACAGCAAAGGGAGATTCCATGAGATTTCATCTGCTCTGTCCTTGAAGGAGCAGTCACCCAGCTCACTGCCCCTCTCTCCTCAGACCACTTTTCTCTTTCTCCCTCACATGCTAATTGACTTAAAAGAATGCACTGGGGGTGGGAGGGGTGAGGGGGAGATGAATTGAACCACAAATTTTCAAATACTTGTTTCATATTTTCAAATTTGATTTAATAAACATGGAGTACTTGCTATGTGCCAGGTACTGTTCTAAGCATTTTAATATTTTGCATGTGATGTTGAATGATGCGGGAAACATCAAAAGAAGATGGAAGGAATACACAGAGTCACTGTACCAAAAGAACTGGTCAATATTTATCCATTTCAGGAGGTGGTATACGATCAAGAATCAATGGTATTGAAGGAAGAAGTTGAGGCTGCACTGATGGCACCTAACAACAACAGCATGCGCTATTTTATGTTCATTGGATAAGACAGCTTATCTTCATTGTATTTTTTTAAAATTAAAGCATTTATCACGATTAGTGGTGTATGTTATCTTAATATCACTCTGATACTTTTAGAAGGTGGATGGAACTTCTTTTGGGGTTAGGGTATATCAGTAAGACTTCTCCAGAGACTGAAACCAATAAGGTAGATAGATAAATAGAGGATGATAGATAAATTCAATAGATAGATGATTAATAGAGATAGATAGATAGATAGATAGATAGATAGATAGATAGATAGATAGATAGATAGAAGTAGATAGGTAGGCAGGCAGGCAGCAGGCAGACAGGCAGGTAAGTAGATAGGTAAGTGGTTGTTGCTGGGTGTCTTTGAGTTAATTCCAACTCATGGTGACCCCTTATGACAAAGCAGAATTACTCCCATAGGATTTTCTTTGTTGTACTCTTTCTGGGAGCAGATCACCAGGTCTTTCTCTTGCAGAGCCACTTGGTGGGCTTGTACCACTAACCTTTTGGTTAGCAGCCAAGCAATATATATGATATATGTATATGATACACACATACACACACGCACACATATGTGTGTGTGTATGTATCTAACATCTGACTCATATGACTGATTGTGGTGGCTGGCAAGTCTGAACAATGTCTATAGGTCAAGTAGCAGGCTGGAAGCTATAGCAGTCTTGAGTACAAAGTCTGTAGGGCAGATCAGCAAGTTGGAAGTTCAGGTAGTTCCAGCCTTGAGACAGAATTTCCTCTTCTCTGGGAAACCTCAGTTTTTGCTCTTAAGGCCTTCAGTTGATTGGTTTAAAGTCCTTCCCTGAGTGACAAAAAAAGTTAAGCATTTGGCTACTAGCCAAAAGTATGGTGATTTGAACCCATCCAGATGCTCCTCAGAAGATAGACTTAGTGATCTTCTTCCCAAAGGTCTTGAAAACCCTGTGGAGCAATTCTATTCAGCCCACATGGGGTCGCCATGAGTAGGAATGAACTCCATAGAAACTCCCAGAAACAATCTCCTTTACTTAAAGTAAACTGATTATAGATATTAAATCTCAACTACAAAACACCTTCCCAGCAACATCTAGACTAGTGTTTGACCAAACACCTGGGTACCACAGGTTAGCCAAGCTGACTCAGAATTATCCATGGAAGGGAGCTCTGACCAGGAAGCCCCAGGGTATGGAGATAAGGAAGATAAGATTGAGTGCAGGTAGTTAAACTCTGCCATCTCTGCAAAATGTGTAAGACCAGAGATGTATCCCCTCTGATGCCTACAGATAATAAATGAGGGAGCAAAGTCCCAGCCCACTGAGGGCTCACCACGTTGTTGTTGTTGTGTGCCATCTAGTCAGACCTGACTCATGGCAACCCCTCCTTGGGTTTCTGAGGCAGTATTACTATGGAAGTAAATTGCCCAACCTACCTTCCAAGGAGTGGCTGGTGGGTTTGAACTGCCAGCCTTCTGGTTAGCAGTCAAGTGCCTTAGGCACTAAGCTACCCAGAGCTCCCAAGGGCTCACCATAGATTGGGATAAATTAGCCAACACAAAGAAGACCATTCCCACCTCTGCTAAAGTAACCAGACTTGGCTGGGTAGAAGACTGGATGAATGGCCTTAAGACTTTACAGAATAGATATACTGTGTACAATTCACAGGACAGCTGGCCTTGAAAAGCACCATGAGATTAATAGACCAAGGTTGTCACTTAACTGCAGAGGAAGCTGAGGCTCAGCA